CATCGTCTAGACACATTGTATATACTATCTAGATATCGATATATACATCATATAGACACCGTGTATACACTCTGTAGATATCCTCATATACATCGTCTAGACACATTGTATACACGCAGTAGATATCACATTGTATATACTATCTAGATATCGATATATACATCATCTAGACACCGTGTATACACTCTGTAGATATCCTCATATACATCGTCTAGACACATTGTATATACTATCTAGATATCGATATATACATCATATAGACACCGTGTATACACTCTGTAGATATCCTCATATACATCGTCTAGACACATTGTATACACGCAGTAGATATCACATTGTATATACTATCTAGATATCGATATATACATCATATAGACACCGTGTATACACTCTGTAGATATCCTCATATACATCATCTAGACACATTGTATACACGCAGTAGATATCACATTGTATATACTATCTAGATATCGATATATACATCATCTAGACACCATGTATACACACTGTAGATATCCTCATATACATCATCTAGACACATTGTATACACGCAGTAGATATCACATTGTATATACTATCTAGATATCGATATATACATCATCTAGACACCGTGTATACACTCTGTAGATATCCTCATATACATCGTCTAGACACATTGTATATACTATCTAGATATCGATATATACATCATATAGACACCGTGTATACACTCTGTAGATATCCTCATATACATCGTCTAGACACATTGTATACACGCAGTAGATATCACATTGTATATACTATCTAGATATCGATATATACATCATCTAGACACCGTGTATACACTCTGTAGATATCCTCATATACATCGTCTAGACACATTGTATATACTATCTAGATATCGATATATACATCATATAGACACCGTGTATACACTCTGTAGATATCCTCATATACATCGTCTAGACACATTGTATACACGCAGTAGATATCCTTTTATACATCGTCTAGACACATTGTATATACTTTTTAGATACCAAAATATACATCATGTAGACACATTGTATACACGCAGTAGATATCCTTTTATACATCGCCTAGACACATTGTATATACTATCTAGATATCGATATATACATCATCTAGACACCATGTATACACACTGTAGATATCCTCATATACATCGTCTAGACACATTGTATATACTACCTAGATATCGATATATACATCATCTAGACACCATGTATACACACTGTAGATATCCTCATGTACATCGTCTAGACACATTGTATATACTTTTTAGATACCAAAATATACATCATGTAGACACATTGTATACACGCAGTAGATATCCTTTTATACATCGTCTAGACACATTGTATATACTATCTAGATATCGATATATACATCATCTAGACACCATGTATACACTCTGTAGATATCCTAATATGCATCGTCTAGACACATTGTATATACTATCTGGATATCGATATATACATCATCGAGACACCGCGTATACACTCTGAAGATATCCTCATACACATCGTCTAAACACCCCTGTACACACCGTCAACACATGAAGATGATCACCGATGTACTATTCTATATAGAATCTTGTATATACTACAAAGGCACAGTTGATGACACCCAAGATAATACCGCTACAATACAACGTAAAGCCAGCGTACTACAGGCTGTTCTGTGAGGAAAGGTTTACGATGCATCGAAAACAAAACAAATTTCCCCACCATACAGCATATAGATACGTGCTTGAACTTGACGCTACACACAAATATAGTGTCAGTCATCGGATAAGACCACAAGGGAAGATTAAAAGCCCACAGGTGATGTAGCCTGTTGGTATATCTCTTTCGTCAGATGAGCCCGCTAGATGGCGCGGTGTCACGTTACTGCCACCGTGACCGTGACCCTCGTTCTGGTGACCTTGGAAAGGGAAGTGTGACATATCAGTTCGTGAGTACTAACGGCAAGCCGTGTGAGTGTGTGCATACCAGCCTTTTGTTTGTTTGTTTGTTTGTTGTTTAACGCCGCACTCATAAATATTCCAGCTGTATGGCGGCGGTCTGTAAACAATCGAGTCTGGACCAGACAATCCAGTGATTGACATCATGAACACCAATTCATGCAATTGGGATACGATGACATGCATCAACCAAGTCAGCGAGCCTGACCACCCAATCCCGTTAGTCGACTCTTACGACAAGCATAGTCGCCTTTTATGGCAAGCATGGGTTGCTGAAGACCTATTCTACCCCGGATCTTCACGGGTCGCACACCAACCTAACTTGGTGTACATGGTTAATAGAATAGAGCCGGTCAATACAATACACGATGTAGATGGAACTGTCAAAATCGTGGTATCCAAAGATCGTTAGCCACTGAAATGGACATTTATTATAGTTCCTTTAGGGGAGAATTAGGTTCGCGACCTTTGCCTGACTGCGTTGTAAGAGTAGATATATAGCTTTGTGAAGATATTATTTGCAGATAAACCTTCCCGCCTTCATATGGGTTCAAAGAACTCATTTATAGACCTTAACAATGAGATCGTTATGTCTGATGCTTGGTTTTTAAGCCACTTTGAACATTAGTTGATCAGGGCCATCTACCCCAAGGCAAGGGAGTTATCTGACTTTAAAAGTCGAGTTTCCACCCTTGCCAAACTAGGCTCGAATTATGGAGTTACATTTTGGCTGGACTAACGAGTCTATGCATAGTCCAATCAAAATTGCGTAACCAAATCGACATCCGGTTCGTAAACTGTCGTGTCGATTTCGGTCGACTGCAGGATTTCCGAAAAATGTGCTCCACAACTTCGGCGTCAACAGATATTTTCCAAAACTTTTCATGTTCTTAATAACGGTCCTCACGTGATTTGATGCCCTTCGACCCGTTTTATTACAATATAGATCATGAATATCGATCAGACCGTCTTGACTCGGCGCATACGTTTCGTTTGAAGCGTATCCGATTGATCAATAGGAGGGGCATAGAAGGGACATAACTCGTGATAGCCACTGGTGGCGCTACGATCGAGCCCAGAAATTCCAGCGTAGTTCGGCAAGGGTGTAAACTTGACTTTTATAGTTATGAAAGACCCGTGAAGATTCGGGGTAGAATAGGTCTTCAGCAACCCATGCTTGCCGTAAAAGGCGACTATGCTTGTCGTAAGAGGCCTAGGCGATTAACGGGATCGGGTGGTCAGGCTCGCTTACTTGGTTGATGCATGATATCGTATCCCAAATGCGTGGATCGATGCTCATGACATCAATCACTGGTTTATCTGATCCAGACTCGCTTATTTACAAACCGCCATCACGTGGTTGGAATATTGCTGAGTGCGGCGCTAAACAACAACAACAACAACAACAAAAGGCTTGTATGCATAAAAGCATGATAAAATATATTTGGATGTTTATATGGGAGGGTGCAACCCCAACATCCTACCATACAAATACAAAAAGCACGTGTAGTTTATGATGATTTTAATAAACGCATCACGGTGACCTTTTTTGTTAACCCGATTTAAATGTTTGGAGCAGGGATCAACTTTTTTGTGATCACTTCCACAAATACAGTTAATTCCAGATCCTGGGGACAATAAAATTGTGTCGACATATCCATAATTCGAGACAAGCGGTGTGACGGTAATGAACCATTGTACCGAAAAAGATTCTGACTGAACAGAGATAACATTCGTCATTGTTATTGCAGTAACCCCGGCGATAACTCTCGCTACTGCCTTATTGAATGTCCATATGTCAACATTCACATGCATCGTCACGCCAATGTTCAGGTGGAAAAACACGCCAGAAACCTATGATTGTGGGTTCGAATCCCAGTTCCCGGTTATGTTTCTAGGTTTGTCAGCACCATACCAGTGCTCGTGGGTTTCACCGAAGCGGTAAGTATCTGAGACTGCATCACTTCGGGCTTTCCTCTCACATTAAACTGACACGCCGCGATATGACTGGAATACTTTAAAAGCGGCGTTAAACCCAACTCACTCACTCACTGAGTTAAAAAAACATCGAGCGATACCCAAAGGTTGGAAGACTTACAGCAACACGTGACAGAATTCCGTCAGAATGAAATTCCTTTTTGTTTTACGTGGCTGTTATAACTTACGTTAACAACTTTGTGTCTGAGGTTACCACAAACATATTTCTTCTTCTTCTTTTTCTTTTCTTTTCTTTTTAGTGTTCATGAGGCAATACTGTGTAGTGTTCATGAGGCAAAACTGTGTAGTGTTCATGAGGCAAAACTGTGTAGTGTTCATGAGGCAATACTGTATAGTGTTCATGAGGCAAAACTGTGTAGTGTTCATGAGGCAATACTGTGTAGTGTTCATGAGGCAAAAACTGTGTAGTGTTCATGGGGCAAAACTATGTAGTGTTCATGAGGCAATAATGTGTAGTGTTCATGGGGCAAAACTGTGTAGAGTTCATGGGGCAAAACTGTGTAGAGTTCATGGGGCAATACTGTGTCGTGTTCATGGGGCAATACTGTGTGGTGTTCATGAGGCAAAACTATGTAGTGTTCATGGGGCAAAGCTGTGTAGAGTTCATGGGGCAAAACTGTGTAGAGTTCATGGGGCAATACTGTGTTGTGTTCATGGGGCAATACTGTGTAGTGTTCATGGGGCAATACTGTGTTGTGTTCATGGGGCAAAACTGTAGCGTTCATGGGGCAATACTGTGTTGTGTTCATGGGGCAAAACTGTAGCGTTCATGAGGCAATACTGTGTTGTGTTCATGGGGCAAAACTGTAGCGTTCATGAGGCAATACTGTGTTGTGTTCATGAGGCAAAACTATGTAGTGTTCATGGGGCAATACTGTGTCGTGTTCATTAGGAAATACTGTGTTGTGTTCATGGGGCAATACTGTGTAGTGTTCATGGGGCAATACTGTGTTGTGTTCATGGGGCAAAACTGTAGCGTTCATGAGGCAATACTGTGTTGTGTTCATGAGGCAATACTGGTTTGTGTTCATGAGGCAATACTGTGTAGTGTTCATGGGGCAATACTGTGTTGTGTTCATGGGGCAAAACTGTAGCGTTCATGAGGCAATACTGTGTTGTGTTCATGGGGCAAAACTGTAGCGTTCATGAGGCAATACTGTGTAGTCATCGGTATTGAAGTTCAGGCGTATCTCACAACATAACCGTTGATGGATAATGGGAGTATCGATTCACAGGTATCTATCATTCCTCTCTGAATCAGCCAGGTGAGTGACCTTCCAATCTGTGTTATTATGTCTTATCAACATTCACATTAAGTGAGTAAGTACATTTAATGCCGCATCGGTATTCTTTACAAAGGCGACATGTTCTGGCGTTGACGTTATAGATTATATTGATAATTGTTATAGCGCTGTTGCATCTTGAAGAATTAATCTTTCTTTAAATCAAACAATTCTCAGAAGCGGAAGATATAATACATGATCCATAGATTCATTTTTTGGACAATACTGGAATTCTACTGTGATGTGTAGCTTTCCTTAACGACTGGTTTGTATCCCTGAGTTGTTTTTCGGTCTTGAGAGGCAGATATCCCAATTTTTCGTACACCTCACCACACAAACTGTCTATCAGAATTGCTGTATAATAGTCTATACCCTTCCGCCATTTTTGCGATTCATACACCGAGTCAGACTTATAAATACACAGCAGGCACGACGTATTTATCTCCCCGGAAGTAATACTTTTCACGTACTTTTCCACCTCCGCTGTAAAACGTAGTCCTGCAAATGCATACATCTCCTTGGTAACGCGGAGCGGTTCCTTTGCCAGGTCTTCATAAAAAATAACCTTTATCCTCCCCGGATACTTTTTTTCTAGCTGTTCTCGAATTTTTATATCCTTCAAAACATCTTTACACGTCTTTTTGGCGTAAGGATACACTATAGGTGTTGGACTATTGCCGTACATCATTTGTGAGCGAATGGCGGCTCGAGGGTCGCGGAGCAGATGTATCATCTTCGCTGATTGGCTAGCTCGGAGGATTGTATCCATGGCTTCCATTGGTAGGCGGATTTCCTTGACAACGCGCACTTTTGAAGCTGAGCATGGTTTTTGGACAAGGTGTAGGCATCGGTATATGTCCACCTTTGTAACGTTGGTTCGGTGGGGTTTGATGCAATCGAAATAAGGCTTTGTATCTCGACTTCGTTTCAAATGATACTGTGTTAAGGATTCCATATCAAGGTCCGTTAATCGACATTCGAGTTTTGAACTTATGATGTTCGACACTTCGCTTATATAATTTCGTTTCAACCTGAAATAAAAAGAAGAATTTCATAAGATTTGATAATATCAACCACAAGCATTTAGTTCATGTAAAAACTTATAACTGAATACTGGTTAAAGCGATGTTAGGGGTGCACGGGTGGCCCAGTCGTCTAAGGCGCCGCGATTCGCTGTGCAGAGTTGCGTCCCTTGGGCACGCCAGGAATCTATGATTGTGGGTTCGAATCCCGGTTCGCCCCGATTATGTATCTAGGTTTGTCAGCACCATACCCATGCTCGTGGGTTTCACCGAAGTGGTAAACGTCTGTGACCTGCATCACTTCGGGCTTTCCTCCCACATTAAGCTGACACGCCGTGATATAACTGGAATACTGTTAAAAGCGGCGTTAAACCCAACTCACTCACTCACTCACTAAAGCGATGTTGAACCTTCCTCACTGGAATATATTGCTTTAATATTGGTAGGAGAGGCCCAAGCCCCTTCTCACTAACATTTATATAACGAACCCAGCAATTAAAGTGTTGCTGCGTCAAACCAGGCTCTTTAAACATTGCCTGGATCCTACTGTTTGTGTTCCACTGCGGTGGAGTGGGGTGGAGTGGTTAAATCGTTCGCTCGTCACACCGAAGGCCCGGGTTCGATTCCTCACATGTGGGGAGCCCATTTCTGGTGTCCCCTGGTGTGATATTGCTGGAATAGTGCAAAAAGCGACGTAAACACACACTCACTCACTCACTCACTCACTCACTCACTCACTCACTCACTCACTCACTCACTCACACACGTTGATGCCATAATGGTTGGAATATTTCCGAAAACGGCGTAAAACAGCATAAACACAGATACACACAAGTTCAATTAACAGGTTTGTCGACATTTATATTGACTTTCTTATACTTGCCGTGTTGGTTTTTCGAGAAAATTCATTTCTTGGCTCTCCGAGTCATAGATGCCTTTAAGTGACTCAAACTCATAGAATACATCCGGGCTAGTCTCAAACAAACTTCCGGCAAACGTAGACCCACTGCGCATGTACGTAAGGATGACGACACCGGAGGCTGCTTGATGGTTTAGGATGCTGTAGACTTTGTTTCCTGCAACACAGAGCTGGGTTACATCGCATGTCTCTTTTTCTTTACTTAGCTGAGGATTATATGAATGTAAGATGAAAACAAATTTCGCATCTTTCGTTTTTTCCATGCTCTGTTAAAGCGCAAAATTCGAGACATTGCTAGTGATCTAGTACAGGAAAGGACAATATACTCTGGGTTTAGTTTCTGAGACCATTACATTTGTGACCAGATCCCCGTGGTTATTAATTCAGTTTTGTTAATGTTCCCCGAATAGACATTTACGAACGCGCTTTATCATTTCTACATGTTGACAATAGGTTACACCAACATTAAGTCTAGAATTTTAATAATAGATTTTGTTAAAAAAGAATTTTTCAGATTTAAAAAAGGAGTTCATGATCATTTGAAACTGAAGAAACTTAGCCAAATATATATATTTATATATATATATATATATATATATATATATATATATATATATGTGTGTGTGTGTGTGTGTGTGTGTGTGTGTGTGTGTGTGTGTGTGTGTGTGTGTGTGTGTGTGTGTGTATGTGTGTGTGTGTTCAACTAAGGATGTGTAAGTCTTCTCTTCGTTACATACCGCAAAACCACAGCAACCCGAAAAGGGACAGGCCTACCATCAGGGGCAGGGGCCTACGGTAGTGCAACATCCTGCAAACAGTTCACGAGTGCGTTTGAACAAGAGTGAGTGAGTAAATGAGTATGGTTTTACGCCGCCTTTAGCGCTATTCCAGCAATATCACGGCGGGGGACACCAGAAATGGGCTTCACACATTGTACCCGGGAATCGAACCCGGGTCAGCGGCGTGACGAGCGAACGCTTTAACCACTAGGCTACCCGACCGCCCCTACCAAGATTAAGAGGTGGACGGAGGGCGGGCGAATGGGTGTAATTACCTTCTCACTCACATGCTGATCACATAAGGATAACTATAAAATACGAAGCTTTTAGCAACAGTCCAGTTATACCCACATGCATATAATAAGGGGCGGTCGGGTAGCCTAGTGGTCAAAGCGTTCGCTCGTCACGCCGAAGACCCGGGTTTGATTCCCGACATGGGTACAATGTGTGAAGCCCATTTCTGGTGTCCCCCGCCGTGATATTGCTGGAATATTGCTAAAAGCGGCGTAAAACCATACTCACTCACTCACACACATGCATATAATGTTCCCAATGTGGGATTCGAACCAGTGTGTATACGCTTTGATCGGAAAACAACGCTAGGGTGGAGTCATGTTGAATGAATACGAAAACAAAGACCGGAGTAAGAAAAACAGAAAACAAACTTGCAGAAAGTGCAGACATAAATGAAAACCTAAATTGTACCATAACTTCTGCACAACATGCAACTTTTAACAGATGCAAACAGGGCCTACCTGAAAGATCCTCTCGCCCAATGATCCAGTCACACAATGCCCGCACCGAGGGTGAAAGCACACAAGAGACCAGATCCGATAAGTTTTAATAATGTAGAACGAAACAACGTCACGACTGCTCCTGTTTACTCACTATGAAAAAAGGCGTACTGTTGTAAGTGGATTACACGTCGTACCAAAACACGTTACAAGATGACGGACTTGTCGGCTCGGTGTCAGTAAATATTGTTTTGTGTTTCTCATCTCCAGCCTCAACCACCAAGAGAGCGGACGGGTGAAATAAATAACCCCAAAAATATGCTTTCACGAATTGTGTACCTTATTTTATATCCTAAAACTTAAAACCAGTCTTTAAATTAATTAATGACGTACATCGACTCGCTTTGCTTCGGATACGAATTAATAATAAATTAGATATTATTATAATTAAAAGCAATAAATATATATCTGAAGAAATATCAAGCTGACCTGCGTATTATATGAGTGTGCAAGTATTTGTTATCACATCGGGGCATTATTGTCCACGGCGGCGGGGAAAATTGAGATACGAAAACGTCTTATTATTTCACAGGGGCGGTCGGGTAGCCTAGTGGTTAAAGCGTTCGCTCGTCACGCCGAAGATCCGGGTTCGATTCCCGACATGGGTACAATGTGTGAAGCCCATTTCTGGTGTCCCCCGCTGTGAAATTGCTGGAATATTGCTAAACGCGGCGTAAAACCGAACTCACCCACTCACTCACGTAGGAATGAAAATTCAGGGCGGTCGGGAGTTGGAAAACACCGAACAAAAATCGGACAGCCTAATGTGTCTGTGTTTATCCATCTTAAAACTGCGGCATGGTATCTCAGTGGACCACCACCGGTTTAAGTCAGGAACTGTACAAGCAGCCACACACACATGCATGTTCACAAGGGAGGTACATTTGTACATGTAAAGCGACAAAAAATGTCCATAATCATAAGAAGCCGCTGCTAAATGACGAGTTTACTGTCCGACTCTGACGGTATCATACCCGTGAAGATCCGGGGTAGAATAGGTCTTCATTAACCCATGTTTGCCGTAAAAGGTGACTATACTTGTCGTAAGAGGCGACTAACGGGATCGGGTGGTCAGGCTCGCTGACTTGGTTGATGCATGTCATCGTATCCCAATTGGGTAGATCGATGCTCTTGATGTCCATCACTGGATTGTCTGGTCCAGAGTCGACAATTTACAGACCGCCGTCATATAGCTGGAATATTGCTGAGTGCGGCGTTAAACAACAATCAATCAATCAATCAATCAATATCATAAGCATGTGTTTATGAAGTTTAAGTTTAAGTTATTCGGTGCCAACAATTATGCAACATAAAACTTTCGATGAAAATCTAGTATCTAAACTTTCTCGATCAAGTCGCCACTGGGGGAATAACTTCAGTTTTAAGAGTCCGTAAATCGTCAGTTGATGTTAATACCCGAATCTCATTGCTAGATCTTGAGGTTAAATGCATAAGACTCCACTGGGACCGTTAGGAGAGTTAAAAGGATTGTTGGAGCAATATTTATCACTTATCACTCCTGTGATCACGGTAAACACGAGGCTCGGGTGTTTCTGCTCTTTATTTAATGCACTGGGCTGAATATGATTTTCAGGAATTATTTATATCTATCAGCTGATTATTCCTATCAGCATTGCAGTTCTAGTGAAAAGCAAATATCCCCTAAGCTTTGTAAATGCCCACCAATCATGTGAATTGCTTTTATCTTTTCAGCGCATTCCTTTGTGTGCATTCTTTTTTGGCATTTAATGCGTTCCTTTGAGTGAATCCCTTTATGGCATCTCGTGCATTCCTTTGTATGAATCCCTTTATGGCATCTCGTACATTCCTTTATGTGAATCCCTTTATGGCATCTCGTTCATTCCCATATGTGAATCCCTTTATGGCAACTCGTACATTCCTTTATGTGAATCCCTTTATGGCATCTCGTGCATTCCTTTGTGTGAATCCCTTTATGGCATCTCGTACATTCCTTTATGTGAATCCCTTTATGGCATCTCGTACATTCCTTTATGTGAATCCCTTTATGGCATCTCGTGCATTCCTATATGTGAATCCCTTTATGGCATCTCGTACATTCCTTTATGTGAATCCCTTTATGACATCTCGTGCATTCCTTTGTGTGAATCCCTTTATGGCATCTCGTACATTCCTTTATGTGAATCCCTTTATGGCATCTCGTACATTCCTTTGTGTGAATCCCTTTATGGCATCTCGTACATTCCTTTATGTGAATCCCTTTATGGCATCTCGTACATTCCTTTATGTGAATCCCTTTATGGCATCTCGTACATTCCTTTATGTGAATCCCTTTATGACATCTCGTACATTCCTTTATGTGAATCCCTTTATGGCATCTCGTGCATTCCTCTATGTGAATCCCTTTATGACATCTCGTGCATTCCTTTATGTGAATCCCTTTATGGCATCTCGTACATTCCTGTATGTGAATCCCTTTATGGCATCTCGTACATTCCTTTGTGTGAATCCCTTTATGGCATCTCG